TTTTTGTCTGCGATTCTGCCAGATACTTTTCTCTAACTGTTAGCGCAAGGCTATGCAGCAATTGGGCTAGAATGTCAAGTAAGGCAGCCCTAAAAGCGGTGCGAACAGCACTGGACTCGAAAGACTTCGAGCTTGCGGCCGAGAAAGCCAAAGCTCTTGTGCAACAAGAACCTGAAAACTACCACGCGTATATAACCCGGTTTCTACTCTGTTAATATTTTTCGCTGACGTATATTCGACCTTTAGGAACGTTTTCTTAGGTCTTGCGCTCGACAAACTCAACAAGACGAAAGATGCGGAGAATGCCTACCTCGCAGCAACCCGTGCGAAAGAGAATGACAAGATAGCATGGCAAGGGCTGATTAGTCTATATGAAAAGCAAGGAAACAACAGGCTAGACTCCTACCGCGAGGCGGTCATAAAGCTTTGCCAGATCCTTGCTGAAGTGTATGTGCCACCATTGTCTTCTAACCGTTTGATAGAAGACAAGTTGACCCCGCTCCAGAAATGACCGTCGACGCTGCGAAGAAATCGTAGATAAATACATCAAATTTACAAAGAAAAATGGCACACGGTCTCAATGTCGAAAGGCCCTCGAACTACATTTGCCAACGGGTCCCATTTACGATATCCTGGAGGGTTTCATCCCGCATCCTGCGCATACCTATCTTCGCCTCATAGAGATGACTGAAGCTGAAGAAAAGGAATTCATAAATAGGGAAATAGGCGAAAGACGTACACGACTGGGTGCGCGCATTGAACAAGTCACACTGGAAGTGAAAAGGGAGGCTTTCAGGCGGAGCGAACTCGAACAGCTTTATCGCGGAATCGTGGATTGGAGCCATGACGATGAGGTCCGGCGTACATATGAAGAGAAGATATTAGAGCGGGGCTGCGATGTTCTCGCCGTTCTTCCGACAAACGAAAAGAGGGCGAAGCGAGAGGAGGTGTGGATGGCAGCTCGCGACATGGTCATTATCAAGCATCCTTTCGAGCTGGCGTGGAGAATCTTTCTTGAATGGCAGGATATTCAAAACTTCTCAGAGTGGGACCGCAACTTTCTAGAAGATTTTATCGAATTCTTCCCAGAAGCGGGGCTTACTAAAGTCCTGAAAGGTTTCTTGGCCAGCAACCTTTCACCATTCCCAAAGGAGACGAAGGACCCCAAGGCGAAGGACAAAGACCCTAAGGAAAAGGAACAGGCGGCCGAGGATGAGAATGACGAAACCAATGAACTCGGTGTTCAAGACAGTATTCTGTTGATGGTCGAAGGTCTTGAGATGTCTGGATCCTCGATTGTTGCGCATCGCATCTTGGGCGAATTTTACTTGACCCTTGAAGAGTACGAGAGTGTTGTGGATGTTTCTCGCAAAGGACTTCGCAACATTCAAGACCTGGTCAAGATGACTGGAATGAAGCTTCAAAAGGCAACGGATTGTATGAATATTGCACTTGCAAACGCCCTGATCTACTATCAGTCGCCCCGGAACCACCCTGAGGCAAAAATCATCTTCGAAGAAATCTTAAAAAGAAATCCAAAGTCCACGAGCTGTCTACTTGGAATTGGCCTTATTCTCAAAGTAGACGAGGATTATACCGAGGCCGTCAACTTCCTGGAGCGTGCTCTGGCACGAGATCCATCGAACCTCAAGGTTCGTGCCGAGCTGTCCTGGAGTAAGGCACTGACAGGTGATCTTACATCCGGACTTCATGGGCTCCAAGATGTGCTTGAAGAACTACAAAACTCGGATTTGGAACTTAGAGATTTTAAATCGGAAACTCTTTATCGTATTGGTTATTGTCAGTGGGAGTTGGACCCATCACCTGCCGCACGCAAGGACCGCAATGGTGCCTACGCTAATTTCCTTGCGTCAATTCAGACTAACATCAACTACGCGCCTGCCTACACTAGTCTCGGACTGTTCTACGCCGATTACAAAAGGGACAAAGGTAGGGCGCGAAGATGCTTTCACAAAGCCTTTGAGCTATCCCCATCCGAGATTGAAGCAGCTGAAAGGCTCGCAAAGGCATTTGCAGATCAAAAAGAGTGGGATCTTGTTGAAGCTGTGGCGCAGCGTGTCGTAGATTCCGGAAAAGCTAAACCTGCACCGGGCTCGAAGCGACGGGGTTACAGCTGGCCATATGCTGCTTTGGGCACTGTCCAGATCAACAAGCAGCAATATGCCAAAAGTATCGTCTCATTCCAGGCAGCTTTGAGACTGTCCCCGGGCGACTATCATTCTTGGGTTGGTCTAGGAGAAAGCTATCATCATTCTGGCCGTTACATTGCCGCTACGAAAGCGTTCGAGCATGCCCAACAGTTGGAGGACTCCCTCTCCAACTCAGATAAGGAACAAGTCTGGTTCGCACGGTATATGCTAGCGAATGTCAAGCGGGAGCTGGGAGAATATGACAATGCTATTGCGAGATACGAGGATGTCCTAAGCATCCATCCGAATGAGTTCGGTGTGTCTATTGCTCTACTCCATACACTCACGGAAAGTTCTTGGAAGAGCCTCGAACAGGGTCTATTCAACGACTGCATTGAACTTGCCCGTAAAGCGATTCTGGTAGCAACATCCCTAGCCCTGGAAAGGGTCGACATCTTCAATTTATGGAAGGGTGTGGGAGATGCCTGCTCAATCTTCTCCTATGTCAAGTCGAAGACTGCAAGAGCCCCAATAAACGAAGTACAGAAACTACTCTCTACCCAGCTTGAGCCTGCAGTTTTCGACATCCTCACAGACGTCGACGAGGTCGGACAAGACCGTCTCTCTGAATTGAAAAATGCAGATGATGAGGCTTGCAGCCCATCAGATAAATGTATGTACGCCTCGATTCTGGCATACAAGCGCGCCATCCACGTCTCAGCACAGGACATTCATGCTCAGGCGGTTGCTTGGTACAATCTCGGCTGGTCAGAATATAGGGCGTTCAGATGTATGCAAGTTTCTACGAGCACTCAAGGAAAGAGACGGTCGCGGACATTTTTGAAGGCGGCAATTCGATGCTTCAAACGGGCCATTGAGCTGGAAGCTGGGAACTCTGAATTCTGGAACGCCCTTGGTGTAGTGACTACCAGTATGAGCCCGAAGGTCGCGCAGCATGCCTTTGTGAGGAGTCTCCATCTTAACGACAGAACTGCGCAAGTTTGGACCAACCTGGGAGCACTTTACCTGATCCACAATGACATCCAGCTTGCAAACGAAGCCTTTACTCGTGCGCAATCTACAGATCCCGACAATTCCCAAGCCTGGATTGGGCAAGGTTTTCTTGCACTTCTATTTGGTGACCCACGGGAAGCCAGGGGTCTGTTTGAGCATGCCTTTGATATCGCCAACTCGTCAGCCCCATTGCCCAAGAAGCAGTACACGTTGAGCTTGTTCGATCATCTTATGTCAGACTCTTCGGCGTCGAACGAGGTTTCAGCGCTGATCCAACCGTTCTTTGCACTCCATCAGCTCTCTTCGCAGGATCCGTCCGATTTACCCTTCGTGCATCTATCCTCTCTTTTGGCTGAGAGAATTGGCGAACTGTCAGATGCAGAAGCCAGTCTACGGACCCTCTGTACCGCCGTAGAGGCAGAATACGAGGTGTCCGAGTCAGCGTCATCCCTCTCTAAATTCGCCCAGGCGAACGCGGATATTGCCCGTGTACTCCTTGCACGTCAGGAATTCGAGGAAGCCGCTGAAAAGGCAGAAACAGCGCTCATGCTCTCTGGGGAAGAAGATGCCGAGAAGTTCGATCCTGAAACGAACAGCAAGCTGCGTTTGTCAGCCCACTTGACGGCGGGCCTAGCGCACTATTATCTACGGAACATGGACAGTGCGATTGATATGTTCCGTGACGCTCTCCAGGAAGCGGACAATGCGCCTGAAGTGGTATGCCTTCTCGCACAAGTGCTATGGGCCAAAGGCGGCGAGGAGGAACGGGCTGTAGCTCGCCAACAGTTATTTGACTGTGTGGAGAACAACCCCGAACATGTCGGGGCTGTCACATTACTGGGTGCCATTGCGATCCTCGATTCCGACAACGACGCCATTGAGGCCGTCGAATCTGACTTGCAGACCATGATTACGAGAGACGATATTGAGATTCACGAACAGACTAAGTTGGTCAAGCTTTTAACAGCCATGTCTGCCTTGGGATTCACCGATAACTCTGGAGTTCCCGAGGAGACAAGACGCGTTGGAGAAGCTGCGGCAGCCGTGATGAGATCACCTTATCAGCCTCAAGGTTGGATGGAATTAGCGGCAGCCTCCGACGAACCCTATCCCGCGGAGATGGGCGTCAAGAGAGCTTTGCGTAGCGTTCCACCCCGGGGCAACCTTGACGCTGTTGACCTGTCTACCGCATATGCACAGACCGGAAAGGCGAGTGACGCGCTCCGGTCTATTATGATTGCACCATGGAAGCAGCATGGGTGGGAAGAACTGAATCACACGGTGTCTGCGACGAACTAGTGTAATGGCTTCCACCTAATGAGAAGTTGCGCTTATAGATAGTCGAGCAGGACATCCTGCAACATGTCTACTGTAGTTAGAGCATGAGTGATGAGATAGAAACAACCCGACATACCTAAGACATTACCCAATGACAGGCCTTGTGATCGTAAAGCCGACCACCCCATTTTCAAGCCTACTGCTCCCCTTGCATTTCCGTGATTCTGGCTATCAGTCTCTCCTTTCGCCCCTCTCTCCACGTCTGGTCCAAGGAATCAATCTTCCCCCCAAGAAGCGTAACAGATTCAGGTGTCAACAACATCATCCCACGGGCAACCGTCGCATTGCGCAATAGTAGCTTAGCCCCAATGGGCAATTTCCCCAGCGAAATTCCACTAACACGCTTCAACTCGATAGCAACAGCTTTCGTCCCCGCCGCATCTTGCACGACCAACCGGTGCGGCCCATTGCTATTTCCGGTCTCTAGCTGCGCCGAAGCAGTATTACCACCGGTACCCTCCGCACTCTGCTCCGGGTCTTCGTCCACATTGATTGTCCGCACAATCTCCCGTCCTCGGATCGCCTCTCCACGTTCCACGCGCTCAATGGCTTCCACTTGGCTCCAAATACTCGTGCCGATGTCTTCGATATCGAGGACTTGGACGGGGATCGAACCTTGAAGTCGTCTTTCTTGAACCGTGGGATCGAAGATGTCGACGGGAAGGAGTGACGATGGTGTTCGTGTGGAAAGAGAATCTCTGAAGTCCGATGCGAGGATGCGGAATAGGGCAGTCTGGGTCAAGGCCGAGAGGGGAACGTTGCGCTGGTGCGCGGTCGATGCAACGAAGTTATTGAGCCATGCTGCTGATACCGGTAGTGACTTGCTGCTCAAGAGCTGGAGGGCGATTTGTTCTTCTGAGTTGGCCATTATTCAGGCCTAGAAATGAAGTTGTGGTTTGTGTGTTGTAGTTAAATGGAATTTGATTTTCATTTATTCCGCCGCGGAACAAAATCCGGGGAACGGACCACCGCTTAACCTCCTGACCTTAGCTGTTCTTTTAGCTTCAGACCACACCTTTCTTTCTCTCTTTACCTCTTCATTGTATTTTATATAAGTATACAGAACATACACGCTCATTAGACCCCCTCAAACTATCAAAATGTCCACCATCTCCTCTCCCCGCCAATCAATCACCTCCTCACGCGCCCACTCACCCACTCCGGCATCCTCCCGCCGACCATCTCTCGACACCCTCAATACAAACGTCGGTCCAGGCCTCAGCGCCAGCTCGACCCCCTCCACAGCCCGAGCTGTCTCCCCCTCCCTCCATCCACGCCGCAATCGCGCCGCCCTCCGCGACTATTACAACCTCAAACCCTCGGCAGCAGAAACCCCGGGAGCTAGACGATCCCGCAGCATCCCCCGGCCCACAGACGCAGCAGACACCTCGAATCCCTCCGTTGTCCAGACTGGAACGGAACTCGATAGTCCCGATTTCGATGCCCAGCGCTATGTCAATCATCTCCTGGCTACGTCGTCGCTGTCAACAGTGCTGAAGGCGGAGAATACGCTCGTCGGAGATATCAAAACTCTGGATAGCGAGCGCAAGGCGCTTGTCTACGATAACTATTCGAAGTTGATTCGGGCGGTGGAGACCATTGGGAAGATGCGACAGAGTATGGATGATCGCGGGGCGCCGTTGACTATGACCAAGACGTTGGGGCCGGCCATTACTTTTGTAGCGGAAACGGCTGGGGGTTTGATTCAGGAGGGGGAGGAGCAGAGACGGCGGATGAAGGAGGCGAAGGCGTCGGATGAGGTGGAGCGCAGGAAGGCTGAAAAGGAGACGGTGAGGTGGGTGCTTGGTACGCCGGCTCGACTGGAGAAGCTTGTTGCGGATGGCAGTCGGGAGGAGGCTGAGAAAGATTGGGAGGAAGTGCGGGAGTTGCTTAAGAAGTGGGAGGGTGTGAAAGGTGCCCAGGAGCTCCGCGAGGCTTGTGAGAAGATTATGGAGAAGAGCAATGAAGCTTCTTGAAGGATTGGCTGTGCCACAACCAATTATCGCTGTCGGGCTACCTTTGTGGACGCCCGCGAGCTGTGGCCTCGGGAAGAGCACTTTCAAGGCTTGGGCTATCGATTGTTGATGCTGCTTGGCCCGTTGACAGCCCGGATACTGCTCGACAAGATCATGTTGATCGAGCATGGAACAGCCTCATAGGAGCGTCTAGCAACTGCTGGCTCGGGATAGGTTCCTAGTCACCTGCAGGTATCACTTCGATATCAAGGGAAATCCCAGAAGAAAGCTGAGCTTGGAAGCACCAACCATACCCAGGCTCAAGCTCATCAATCACAACCTTCATATCACATCCAATACAAGCAACGAGCAAAAGCAGCTCAGGCGGATCATAACGTCATGATCATCATTACACATATCTGATGCATATATGGACAATACATCAACTCAGATCAAAACAAATCAAACCTTGCGCTCCAAAACCTCCCGACTGGAAAACAAACTCGCCTTCAAGCCGTACGAATTCCCACTCGTAATCTCCAAATAAGTATAAGCATCACACTTATAATAAATAGGCCTCTCCTCCTTCCTAACCAACCCCACCTCAATCAACCTCTCCAACACCCTCCGCACATCCTCCAAATCCTCAAAATCCTTGGTATAGATAGCCAACAACCTCGCCTTCCCACCCTCTTCACGCGTGGCCACCTTCGCCGCAAAGCCCAACCGACCCTCCACCGTCTCCTCCACAACAACCCCCCAAACACGATCCACAACCTCCTCCCCAAGAAACAACATCCACTTCCCCGAAACTACGCCGGTCTCCCTCGCCAGCGCAAAAATCTCCCTCTCCAACCCCCGGCGCAACGGCACCAACTTCCGGCCCCTCGCCAGCGCAGATGCCCCCTCCATCTCCACCTCAACAGCAACTTTCTTCTCCTCAAATGCCCTCAACATCTCCGTCCCCCGACCCACAAACCCCGCAACGTCCTTCTCCCCCTGCCGTACATCGGGATTATCGACATGGATCCACGGCCCCACATCCGCCGACCTCGTCCCAGAGGGCGGTAACCGGGTAAGGAAGTCCCGGACGGACTCGTTACGTTTGAGGGCGTTGTGCGAAGTCGTGGATGTTGGTGTTTCGGGCTCGAATCGGATAGCAGTATTTGAGTGCGCTTTGGATTTGGTTTTGGTCGTGGGGTTTGGGGGGTTGACTTCTGGGACGGGTTGTTGTTTAGAGGCTGCGAGGGAGTCGTGCTGGATTGTGGAATAGAGGTTTGGATGGATCTTCTCCCAGTAGGGTTCTGGGTCGTAGGTTTTGGAGAGGTATTCGAGACGGGATTTTTCGTTTTCCGATCCTGGGGTTTTGTTAGTTTTTGTTATTGTTTGGGGATGATGTCATATGATAAATAGATATTCCACTACCTAGTATAGGTAGGAGATGGGGAGGAAGATATTAAATGGTACGAACCATAAAAACTCGATTCATCAGAGAAGTATTCGTTGCTGTCGAGTATGGACATATCGGCAGTGCGCGTTTGGCGCTGAGGTGGTTTTGTTCGCGGCATGATGGTTGAGTTTTGGAGATGGTGATTTTGTATTGTGTATTGTGTATGTTTTATCGGTGGGAAGCGTGCTAAGATATGGCTGGAATTCTCGGCGTTGAATGATGTCGTGAGGATTGGTTTTGTAATTTGTTCGACATGGTGGTTGTGGTGAAATGTTGTATTTATTTATTTTAAGAGTCCCACCTGTCACGATAGCTCGGGGCTAAAGCTTTCTAGTGGGTGATTTACAATTGATTGATCTGCTGATGTGGGGTATCTTTTTAGTTTTTGTACATTTAAAAATTATTGGGGTTGTTGATTTAGTACGACAAACTTAACTTGTTAGATTATTGTGGATGATGTGAAATACTATTGATCAAATACATTGCAACTAGCTGACTAAATAATGAAAGTTGCTTTATTCGTGAACATTCAACCATGACTATATAAACTGCATAAATTCGAGAGTCGAGTTACATCTTCTGCTGATAAAAGATAATTGCATCTAGTAAGCAGCCAGAAACGCTTCCCATCTCTATTTACTACCCCAAATCTGCTCCACAAACTCTGTTAAGTCAGCCTTCAATTCCTTCGGCTTTTCAAGAGCCGCGAAATGGCCTCCCTACACAACAGTAAGTAAATGAATTTCTCTCAATGCGATGCAACATACCCGTTGGTGTTCCCTCCAAAAGACTAGATTCCCCGTTGTCTCGACCCAGCTCTTGGGCACGGGGAAAAGTTCAACGGGGAAATAGGAAAACCCCAATGGTTTATGAATGTACCGCAGAGAATTCCTCTCGGGGGATATGGGGAGCTCCTGGAGGTGGTAACTAAGCATTAGTTCTGATCGATGACCTACGAATTCGAAAACCAATCATCGTCTCATACCTCTCGATAAGGGTATATCCCCCGCGGAAACGTCTCTGTCAGCCAGTACAGCGAGACGAACTCTAGAATCGTCTGGGAGGGAAGAGGCTCGTCTACCCAAGTGAGGAATTTCTCTCCGACCCTGGACTCAGTCAGACTATGTGCTTCAAATCCACCTCCCTGTTTCTACTGGTGGTTACTATGTGTATATGACATACCACGCGAGCAACGCAAGAGGGCTTGAAGAGAGGATATGCCCGATAGTACTTGGTCTAGTGGCATGCTCAAAGGCATATGCGAGGCCCGTGGTCAGAAATTCCTCTCTTAGGCCTAGTCCTTTCTTCTCGACGGCCGTGAGACTCTCATCGGGTACTCCCTTTGGGGGTGTTGCTATCGCACAGAAATTCACTTTTCCCCAGTTGGTCACAATGCAATATTAATGTTTGGTGTACGGAATCAACTTACAATGAACCGCTGTACATATGGTAAGCGTTTCGAGAACCAAACATAAATCTACAGAAAAAAAACGAACCTTTGCAGCTGTCATGATCTACTGCCAGATTTCTTGAGACCCGGCTTCCGATATCGCCTCCTTGGGCAATGTATCCGCTTTCGAATCCCAGGTCTTTCATTAATTTATCGATGGCTCGAGCGGCATCGTGAGTGGTATAGTTTCTATCCACTGGAGGACCAGAGGAGAAGCCATACCCCGGCAGAGACGGGACGATGAGATGATACGGTAAGGTGCTGGGGGTAAAGTCATCCCGGAATAGCTGGAGCAGGGGGAGAAACTCCAGGAAGCTTCCTGCATTGCAACGCCCTGTGAGTCTACAAAATCAAAACCTAATCAATCGAGATGTTACAATACCAGGCCATCCATGAAGCAGCACGATGGGCACTGCATCTGGTTTCTCCGAGAAGAGGGCTGCGAAATGCAGCTGGATATCCTCAATCTCGGCTGTGAATTGAGGGAAATCGTTGATCCGAGCTTCGCATGCTTTCCTACGCGGAGTCAGGTTCTCTCGGCTCTGGAGAAAGTGGGTACTTGGAGTGTATTCAGTCGAGAAGGATACCAGTTAAACTCATTAAGCCACTTTTCTCGGATCTCGGTGAGCCATTCGGAAGTGATGCCGAAGCGGGCGTCTGGATGAGAATTCTCGTATGTCCGAGGGCCTATCTTTGACAGCTTCACCAACGTGTGGAGTTCGGTAAGCTGTTCCTGAGGAATGGACACCTTGAAGGCGTGTGGGGTAATTCTCGCCGTAGAGGGGAATTCGCTGAACGGTGCAGACATGGCTTGTCTATCTATCTACGATTGTAAGAAAAATAAAATAAAAATAAAAATAAAAATAATTGTATGGAGTAAGTGGTAGAGAATATAGAAAAGTAATTCTCAAAATAAACACAATATTGAACAGGACAAGTTCTACAATGCTGGTTTTGTATAGACAAGCAAAAATGCGGGGAAGTTGATGATTAATGGTACTTGAAATTTACAGGCAAGAGTGAGTGATTTCTAATACGAACAAAATCAAGTTCTTGTTCATTGGCTCTCACGAAGGCATTGAGTCACATCATATCGCATTGCTGACAGACCTTCGTGTTCTGATTCAACATACATGACAGCATGTAACCCCAGGAAGATTCCATGAGATGGGGAACCCCACGGTTGTTAATGTCATCAAGTTAATATTATCTCAACTCCGTTCCGATGTATGTGGGCACGGCATTTAGACCCTATCTTGAATTCGTTACCCTCGGGATTTCATTGATAATCGGAAGGGCTTCCCGATCCCAGTGAATCCCCCAGGGTTTCGGGTCGCCCGAGCTCTCATTTGACTTACCGATTTGAGCATAGCCCGAGATGGAGGATATACATATAGTTCCAAGTATGCCCCCTCGACTTGTCCTCAAACGAACTGCATAAACTCCAAGTCGCAATCAGTTATCATTGCGATTTTACAGAACAATTAATCCCACTATGGCATCATCATTCGCATCCATCTTGAAGGACTCCAGTCTCTTCGTCGAGCGCTCATACGTCAACGGCCAATGGGTGTCCTCCAACTCCAACGCTACATTCAATGTCACGAACCCCGCAAACGAAGCACAGGTTGGCGTTGCCCCTGAATCCACAATCGACGACCTGAACGTCGCTATTCAGGCTGCATCCGAGGCATTCCCAACCTGGAGATCGGTGCCAGGCCGTCAGCGTGGCCGGATCCTGCGTCGCATTGGCGAGCTCTTGGTTGAGAACAAGGAAGACATTGGCAAGATCATCACGGCCGAGAATGGAAAGGCCAAGGGTGATGCCGAGGGTGAGGTCATGTTTGCGGCCAGCTTCTTCGAGTGGTTCGGAGAGGAGGCTCCCAGAATCTACGGAGACATTATCCCACACAGCAGCCCCGCTGGCCGGACGCGTGTTATCAAGGAGCCTGTCGGTGTGTGTGGTTTGATTGTTCCATGGAACTTCCCCCTGGCTATGGGCGCCCGCAAGGTCGCTGCTGCCCTCGCCGCTGGATGTACGGTCGTCATGAAGTCGGACGGTCTGACCCCCTTTGCTTCCAACGCTATGGCTGTGGTGGCTGAGCGCGCTGGTGTCCCTAAGGGTGTCTTCAACGTTGTGACTGCGCTGAGCAACACTCCTCAGCTTGGTCTGGCTATGTGTGAATCTGATATCATCAAGAAGATCTCGTTCACCGGATCGACAAGAGTCGGTAAGCTGCTGATGAAGCAGTCCAGCAGCACCCTGAAGAAGTTGAGCTTGGAACTTGGAGGCAACGCTCCATTCATTGTGTTTAACGATGCCGATATCGAAACCGCCATCACCAGCGCCCTCATCAGCAAGTTCAAGGTGACCGGTCAGACCTGCGTGTGTGCCAACCGGATCTTCGTGCAAGAAGGCATCTACGACCGCTTCGCCCAGCGACTCGTCGAGGAGGTCAGCAAGTTCAAGGTGGGCAACGGCCTGGAGGATCCTACCGTGACCCATGGACCCTTGACCAACGGCGTGGCGAAGGTGGAGGAACACATCAAGGATGCCGTGAGCAAGGGCGCAAAGGTTCTTCTAGGTGGAAACCGACTCCCTACCCTCGGCAAGAACTACCACGAGCTGACCATCCTGGGCGATGCCAACGATTCTATGATGGTGTCTAAGGAAGAGACCTTCGGCCCTGTCGCAGCATTGATGAAGTTCAAGACCGAGGATGAAGTCGTCCAGAGAGCCAACAACTGCGAGGTTGGATTGGCATCCTATCTCATCACAAGCGACCTGGGCACATCGCACCGGGTCTCCGAGAGACTCGAGTTCGGTATGGTTGCTATCAACACTGGTGTCATCTCCGACGCCCCAGCACCGTGAGTTCCCACCTTAACCCTAATTCTCATTTTTTTTTTTTTTTTTAAAAAAAAAAAAAAAAAAAACCTTGCTAACCAGCTCTAGATTCGGCGGTGTCAAGCACTCTGGTATGGGACGTGAAGGCAGCAAGTATGGAGTTGACGACTACATGACTATTAAGATGATAACCACGGGAGGCATCAACACTATTTACACGCGTTTGTAAGAAGGATAATGACAGCTTAGACGACTTATTATTTATAGACTAAAATGAATTTCTTATTCCTTGTTCAATTCACATTTTGTGTTATTATACACGTCACCGTGGCATATCTGAGTATACCGCAGAATAAGAAAGAACATTCATTGTTCATTGACTAATATATACAGATCAATCCATAGCCAACAAGTATATATACTTACCTAGTAAGTATCCCGACCAAAGCGTACCAAGCAACAAAACAATTGGAAAAAATTAAAAGAAAATATTTCACCGCCCTCCACAATCCCTCCCAGCAACACAAAAATAGAATTAATATTAATCTTACTCCAGATTCTCTTACTATATGCACCTAAATATAGAGTCCTTGATTAGATACAGTACCTGTTTCCCAAGACATCAAATCTAATCAATAACAAACAACAAAAAAAAAAAAAAAATGCCCCTCCAAACCCCTCAATCCGCGACCACAGTCTACCTCGATCAACCCCCAAGCTGTCTTCAAACCTGTCCCGCATCACCCAACCACTTCGTGATAGGCACATACCTCCTCACCGAGACAAAAGATGAAGCAACCGATACAATCCAACAAACTAAAACAGGCAGTCTTCAGCTCTGGCATTTAGCACCGGAAACGAATACCTTGTACGCCAGCCTACCCCACCATATAGAACCTTTCCGCTCCCCTCCCCTCATAATACCTAGAAACCTCCCCCAGCATTAAACAAACCAAAAGAATTTTTTTTTTTTTTTTAAAAAAAAAAAAAAAATTAACTAACAAAAACCCATAGAACCCAACTCCAGAAACTCTCCCTCCCCCACGCAGTCTTCGATTTACATTTCCACCCCACAAATCCCACCCTGTTAGCAATCGCCACAAGCTCAGGATCGGTATCCCTCTTCCGGATCACCATTACCGCCATCTCCTCGGGAAGCAAACCCGAGATCCTCCCTCTCTGGACCAAACCCGTCCACGAAGACCCGACCATCCCGGCGCTATTCCTCGCCTGGACGCCTGCATGCTGGTTGAATCCAGCTAGTAGTAGTAGTAGTAGTAGTAAAGGATCTTCCTCTTCTTCTTCCGCGGACGGGTTCGCGGTCACGTTCTCGGATGGTCGGACGACGGTTTTCGGGTGTACCGAGGGGATCTCGGGTTTAGCTGATGGGGATCCCCGTGCCGATGGTGATGATGGTCATGGTCTTGTGGAAGAGGTGGGTTGTTTTGCTGTGAGGGAGATGATTGAGGTTTGGTTTGTTGCTTTGGGGGTGTTTTCTTCTTCTTCTTCTTCTTCTTCTTCTTCTGATGGGGAGAAGGGGAGGTTTTTGTTTACGGGGGATGATTTTGGGGGAGTGCATACTCGGCGGTTTTCTGATTTTAATTCTAATTCTAATCTTGATCTAGATGAGGGAGAGGGAGAGGGAGAGGGAGAGCTGCTGGCCCCGGTTACCTTGGACTATGATGATCGGGCGCGTCATCATACTGCTGGTGTGACGGCTATTTTGCCCCTGTCGGTGTTGGGATTGGAGGATGGGGCGCCGTTGCTCCTTACGGGGAGTTATGATGAGTACCTCCGGGTTTATCATGCTACGCGGAGGGGGCAGGTTTTGGCGGAGGTGTGTCTTGGGGGTGGGGTTTGGCGGTTGCAGTTGGTGAGGACGGAGCATGAGGTTTTGTCTGGGGGTGAGGAGTGGAGATTCCTTGTTCTGGCGAGTTGTATGCATGCTGGCACGAGGGTGGTCAGGATTACGCGGACGCTGGGGAAGAATGCCGGGTGGGATATTGAGGTGTTGGCTGAGTTTACGGAGCATCAGAGTATGAATTATGCGTCCGATGTGTGGAAGCCGAAGGGCGGATATGATCTCCAAGGGAAGGAGATGTCGGAGCTGCTCTGTATATCGAGTAGTTTCTACGATCGGAGACTTTGCCTGTGGTGGGTCAATGTATAGAACAACACGACCTGAATATAAATATTGTTTATTGTTCATGAAATGATGCGCTCGATAAATTCATCATGCAAGGCGACGACGGTATACAAGATATAAAAACCCCCCGGAACCCAGACGAAAAGGCAAAGGGAAAAAAAAAAAAAAAATACCGTGACTAGATCTATTAAATTAAACAATCGTCTCTAGTTCGCGAGCGTAACCAATCGCGTTCTCGATGATTGCGGTGCTGGCCACCAGAATATCCTTCTCGGACCGTGCGGCGGCCTCCGGCTCAACAGGGAAGTATATCCGTCCATCACGAAGCACCCATCCGCGCTGCTGGGCGAACTCAATGACCGCTCCCTCCGACTCGAGGAACAGAAGGTTCTTGGCGTTGGAGATGGGGAGCGAGGGGTACGCCTTTTCGGAGCAGTCGGCGATTTCACTACGGATGGTTCCAACCAGGACCTGAACAACCGGGAACAGTCAGTATGCACTCCGACAAAGGAAAGGAAAGGAAAAAGTAGCACGTACATTCGAGAATAAGCCGAAATCCTCTGAAGGCACTCTCTCCGACTTAGTCTCTCTCCACACCTTATCATAGCTTCCCTCCATCAAGTTTCTCTCCAGCTCAACCGGGTACTTAATGCATGGGTCATCCTCAATCCTCTTTCCCTTCAAACTCGCCTCCTCGACGAGACCCTCCAAGACGGTGTGGAAACTAGTGCTGTCGCCCATGCTCAGCAACAGGAGGAGGTGCAGCCCCGTGATCTTGCTCCGTTGGCTGGTCTTGAAGTCTACCTTTCCTGCGTTGGCGCTATCTCTCTCCAGATCGTAGAAAGGCTGCAACTGCTGGTAGTATCGTGTGAAAGAGGGTGCGTCGGTTTGCCGGATGGAGGACAGAGCGCCGAGCTCCAGCACCTCCCGGGCAACGGCAATCAGCTCAGGCGATGTTGAAGATGTCGGGATGAGGGCATTCTGCAGTAAGAGGGTCCGCTTTGCGCGACTAAGGAGATCGTTGGCAGCATCAAATTGTTTCCGGTTGAGAGCGTTGTGAAGCTCTGAGACGAGGGTCCGGAGGTCGGCGCCGTTTGCCATAATGGGTCTGGATTTAGGATGTGAGATGGAAGGTATGTGGAAGGCGACTCGGAAAGTAAATAAAAACGTATTAAAGAAGTCCGGGAGAGGTTGAAGCGTACGGGAAAAGGTAAGGAGTGGTTTTGTGGTTGATGGTCGATGATGGTTGACGATGACACCAGCAGTTCCAAGAGCTTCTCCAGCGCATCTCTTGGCATGAGGTCACGTGGGGCTGAGCGGCGTAGGTCTCCATTAGGTACAGAGTAAAGGGAATGGAAAATGGGGGAAAAATTGTAAATAAAACAAAAATTATAAAAAAGAAAGGAAGATGGAACTAGTTGACACTGAAGTCCCGACATACTACAGCAGAGACAATCTATATAACGAGAAGCTCGAACGCTATATACAAAAATGGGATTCGAACTATGCGTTTCTAAACTACCCATGCTCAAGGCCCTTTAAGCGACAACTCTCCTGTCTCGTTATACAGACATAGCCCGTCCACCAAGTGCCTTGTAGTAGGGCGTTCCAAGCCCTGTGACGGGATCCCACCCTGGTGTTGCATTCCAGCTTGCATACGGCACCTCCCGTCCAACATCACCAAAGCACCCTACCGAACCTCCATCGACGATGTCTGTAAAGCCAGTCTGGTTGAGAGAGTAAAGCCATGGGTTGAGAAACCCCAATCTTGGCTTGTTATTCTCCAGCCGAGCTGCATTCAACCGGGAGACAATACCAGCAAACACGGGCGCTGCAGCACTAGACAGTAACGTCAGCTTCCTGTATCTTAGATCTTAACAACCATATTATAGCGACAAACCTGGTACCTCCTGTCTTCAGAAGCTGTCCATGATCCATGATAATAAAATGATCCGCCTGAGCTGCAACATCGGGGATAGCCCTTCCATTGGGATTGTAGAGCCCTTTCCATTTGGGCCCCAGTTGACTGAGGTATTGATTGACACTGCCGTCCTGGTATGAATGACGCGGGAAGTACTCTGAAAAGCCGCCTGTGGAGTAGCCAATGGCCATTTCAGGCTCCCTACCGTAGGTGCCACCTACAGACGTAACAAAAGGACAAGATGCCGGGTAAAGTGGTTGGAACCTTGTCCGGTTAGTCCCGTCATTCGCTATACAAGAGTCTCCAACGCCCGAATCGCCGCTGCTAAAGATCACGGAGACTCCGCGTGCTCCAAGCTGAGCAAACATGTTACATGTGGTTCTCGCGTATATTTCTGGCACGCTCTGTTCCAATTCACCGTATGACGTAGTTAGGACAGCAGGCAGTTCGTCATCTGGGAGGTCTAACAGATAACGAAGTTGCTCAAGGTATGGTTCGTGCGGATCACTTGCGCCATTATGCCCCAAGTCACGTATAATGGGGCCACGCCCGGCGGTGCTATAGAATGTTGTGAAGGAGTTATCGGCTAGAGCAGCAGCGTACTGGATGTCCAAGCTTGCCTCGGAGCTGTCCTCCAAAGAATCTTGCAAATTGAGACCACCATTGATGAGCACCACGGTGTAATTAGTGTCTGTTATATTCGGTGCATAGAGGCGCAAGAACTGATGAAAGTCGCTATAGTGTGCATACTGACCCAGGAAGCCAGATACCCCAAGCCTGTTACGACGGTCCGGCTTGGGTTTGGAATCAGAGATTCCATACAGTTCGCGGAGACAGCTAGGTGTGACTATTGATGAACAGCCTGCCACTAGATCTTTGAGGGTAACAGGCAAAGCTTGGAAGAGTGGTGACTCAGATTGCGGCATGAGCTGGCTAAACCGGGTTGTTGGCTGAATCATCTGAACAAAAGATCGAAGTTCTTTAGGCACCGAATATTTGAGAGTCCTGACGACGGTTGCTCTCGATTTCTTGTGCTCGAAGATATAGAACCGCGTCTTTAACAACTGCTCTGCTTCAAAGACTGGGACTGTAAAGGTAATCCAGCCTGTATGCTTGTTGATCGATGTAGCGGGTATATGTGCAGCTTCAAGCCAAGAGAGGACCTTCCGCGGAGCTACATCAGATGAATATAGGAAGCTCCTGACCTCGTCACGATTCATGTGATGTCCATAGTTCTGGTTCCCTGGAGTAGATATTTCGATGACCCTCTGCTCAAATTCAGATTTTTTTTCTGGATGGACTGCCAGCTGAAGTTTGATCGGCTTCGACGGGGAAGGAGTCCCCATATCTACCCAGTCATCCGGAATCTTTTCCAGGCGTTCAACAACCGAGTACCTGGGCTCAGTAACTAGTGCAGTGACTAGAAAGTGAAGGACCAGGAATAAGGCTCCTAGAATATATGCAAACAATACCATCTGTGGAGAAGGCATATCAGCTCGAGCTTAGTCAAGCTGGTGAAGGAGGAACATACCGGGAGAGGTACTCATTGGGATCACTGTCGACCCTCACACATGTGTAGAGGGAGGAAACTACATCTTGTCCGATGGCTAATTAGCACAGGCATCGGCCGCGTTCAAAACCTATTGCCATTGTGATTAGTGCGACTAGGGATCGAAGCATCATGGCCAAGATCCACGGTTCACCACATTAGCGATATGTGGTAACTAGATGGAGATGCAGTTTTTCTAGGTCCATTTGAGCCACTGGAAGTTTGAGCTGTGGGAGGGTCCTTATTGTGTCCCAAATAAAGCGTGTATAATGACACCAAAGAATAGTTTCTAATTTTCAGCAGTTAGGGTTGATCGAATAAAAGTTCTTTGTCTCTTTTTTTATTGACTCCCGCATTCGGTAAAGGCGGAAGATGCTGTCCTTTGGTACCTTTGGTACTAGCGAACTGTTTTCCTGCGGAAACTTTGGGCTTTCCCTTTCCGGAACGGGACTAGCTCAGGGCCGCTTTTTGCTCAGTGATTGCTCCCGGAGCGTGGGAATAGACAGGAGTGCGTGTGCTGAGCACTCCCGGAGCATTGAACCAGTGCGCCGGAGCGACCCGGGATCAATTCCGGAGCCAATCCGTGATTGCTCAGCTAAGCCGACTACTCCGGACGCAGATTAACTAAAAATTATAGCGCCAAGTCCACCTCTCGAACAATTAACTAAGGATATAAATATAAAAACACCTCTAGATCTATAACTAAGATCTTGTCACAGATCCGATGATGACTCTGCATGATGACTGTATTGTATATCCTGCCCGTTGTGCATATACAGCTCGGAGGCCGAACGGTAATAACGGATCACATATCTGTTGTCTTTTCAATAGTGTATAGTAGCTCCTTATCAGTCTTATTTTATTGGGAGAATAAGAGACTTCTTCTAGATATAAAGTTAGCCTAGTATAAATAAAAGAGGAAGGTAAAAATCAGTTTTCTATCTACCTAATATCTACTACTATTCATATTTGCTTCGAAGCAGCGGGGCTCGGAACATCAAAATCAACACTCAATCTAAACACGTCATTTTAACGCGTCAATCGATCGAGAAAGGCCCCCTGAGGCCCCAGGAACCGCTATGGAGGTCCCAAACCCCCATAGTGGTGGTCTACCGAGCGCGTCGAGGTGGGCACCCCTAAACGACGTGCCACCACCATCACCACCATCACCAACACCGATATATCGCGGGGGCCCTAGGGTCTTAGATATACCTATAAACCTGGAGCAGATAAGCAGCAGCGAATCTAGCAGAGCCCCAAGTAGGGCCAGCTCTAAAAGCAGCAGAACTACACAGAGCGCTCAAAGCAGCCGAAAGCGGGGAGAACGAGACTAAATACT